AGATGATTATGAAGTCTTTACAATTCACGCAGAAGAACTTCTCATGAAAGAGATAGAAGGAACAGATCCAAATATATTTCATAACATGACAGATGCAACCCTTCAGAAAGTAGCAACAACAACCTCAAAAGATGGAAATCTCATGACTTTAGCTGAAATTTTTGCTAATGGATGGCCTGAGAACAAGACACAAGTACCGCCCAATGTCCGAGACTATTGGCCGTAAAGAGATGAACTAGCAGTTCAGGATGCAATGATCCACAGAGGAACGAGAGTGCTCATTCCCACGGCTATGTGCCTACAGATTTTAGAAAAAACACACTCCGCTCACCTAGGAGCTGAAGGATGCATGAGATCGCAAGAGATACATTGTACTGGCCATCGATTCATCATGATATAAAATATCTCTGCAATAACTGTTCCGTATGTCAGGAAGCTAAGCCAGATCAACCTGGAGAAACCATGTAGAGCCAGCCTATTCCAAAGAGAAGATGGCAAATAGTCAGTACTGATCTTTTCAATGTGAAGAAGGACGTCTACTTGGTAGTTGTGGATAATCTCACAAAATACTGGGACTTAGAGCAACTGAATGGTACTGATGCTGAGTCCACAATCTTACAGATGAAGAAGATTTTCGCCCAGCAGGGAGTCTCTGAAGTGGTAATATCAGACAATAGTCCTCAATATGCTAGCAAGGAATTTAAGGAGTTTTCAGAGAGTTGGAACTTTCATCACTATACCTCTTCACCACACCATCCAAAAGGAAACGGTACAGCGGAAGCTGCAGTCAAACAAGCTAAGAGGATACTCAAGATGAGTCACGACCACTGGATGGCTATTTTGGAACAAAGGAATACACCTGATGAGTGGCATCACCAAATGAGAAACTGAACTCCAGAAGAACAAGAACAGTTATACCACTGAAATCAGAGTTACTTGAACCCCATGTGATACTAGCCTTAGGCATCATACGAGCTTCAGTCAAGAAGAAGCAACAGAACAAGAGGTATCATGATAAGGGAGCAAAGCCTCTACTCCTTCTTGTTGTAGGAGATAGTATTCGCGCCAAGATCAGGCCTCAGTCGTCGTCCCTGTGGACACAAGGCCGTGTGGTCAGAAGAGAATCTGACAGATCCTACATAGTGAAGGCCAATGGCCGTGAGTACAGGAGGAATCGGTGTCACATCAGGAAAACTAGAGAAATTACAACGCCCAAAGTCGTTGTTACAGACCCTTTTTTAGAATCTCCTGTGGGCCCACCCACACAGTCAGATGCAGCCTTTCCAAGTGCCCCACATTCAAAGTTCATAGAATTACCTGGAGTTAACAATGAAACAGGACAAATGCAGTTGAGTGAAATAAAAAATAAATCAAAATCAGAACCAGTACCGATTCGACAAGGCGTAAGAAGATCACAGAGACAAGTCAAACTCAAAGTGTAAAGACTTCGTTCTGTTTAAATAACCTTAAAGAAATTTAATAGACTGCAATAGGCAATGTGATTTCTCGTCATTTCCTTAACAAACTGTTCGTCAGTCTTTGTAAAGAAGAGAGGATGTGGTGTGACCTTCAAGAATGTTCTAGAAGTAGCTGTGTCATGCTGAGTCATCCCTGAAGCAATATATAAATAGAATCTGTTACAATTTTACAGAACGTTCTAGATCCTCAACCGTACCTATAAAAGCCGAGCTTGTTACTAGATGTAGAGAGTAGTTTAGTTGCTGTATAGCCCGTCAGATATCAATAAAGGTGTATGCCGCAGAATACAAGACGTCCACACCTCAGTATCTAACAGCAAAATCGGTAGATCTGGGGTTGGAATCCTCATCAAAGTCGACCAGTACTTTTCATTTCACGCTATTAGCATTTAATTACATACAAAGTTCGACTCACAAGTTTTTCCTAGATCAGCTGGTAGAGCATTTGATACCGATACTACAAAGTCTGAGGTTTGAATCCTCACACGAGTTAACCCAAAAGTCTATCTCTTCACTTGACCCAAATTTCTTCTTTCTCTGCCCAGCTGGTAGAGCAGATGGCGAAGTTTTTAAGGTATAAGGTTCGAATCCTTATCGTTGTAGACCCAGCTTTTTCTTTTTCTATCTTCTTTTTCTGCACAGGCCTTACATACTTCAGCATATACAGTATCTGACAGCAAAATCGGTAGATCTGAGGTTGGAATCCTCATCATAGTCGACAAGCATTTTTCATTCACGCTATTAGCATGTAATTTCATACAAAGGTTGACTCACAGGTTTTCCTCAGCTCAGCTGGTAGAGCATTTGATACCGATATTACATAGTCTGAGGTTTGAATCCTCACGCAAGTTAACCAAAAGTCTATCTCTTCACTCGACCCAAATTTCTTCTTTCTCTGCACAGCTGATAGAGCAGATGGCGAAGTTTCAAGGTCTAAGGTTCGAATCCTTATGATTGTTGACCCTGCTTTTTTTCTTCATCTTTTTGTGTACAGCCAAGAAACTGCAATCCCCGCTTGAATACAGACACAGTCCTCTGGTGGTTACAGCCGACAACCGAAATGGGTCTGGCCTCCGGGTTTGAGACCTATTTAACGGCTTATTGCTCGCATCAAAAATAAAAGAAAGAAAAAATTAAAAACATAAAAACAAAAACGATGCGAGCTTATGCCGAGGTACCAGAGGGTGAGACCGAAGTATGGGCAATCTGCACTGCACCTCTCCTCGGGACGCGAATATAAACAAGCACTGAGTGGAGAGCACGAAACTCTTCCCCCAGCTGGGATCGCCTTATATGGGCTGACTGCTCGAGGTTCGAATCCTCA